AGATGTTATTCTTTCTGAATTCAGTTTTAGGTGGCATGTTAAAAATAGACTCCCCTAACATAACATTACAAAATATGAGAAATATTTTTAAAATGCCTTTTCTGTGGCTCAAAGTAGAGAAAACACACACACACACACACACACACACACACAGTTTTAAATAATTTAGTCTAGGTATGTCCAAATATAAGATGATCCCATTTGTTTTCAGGTGTATTTAAAAATATGTTTGGGGCCTCTTAATATGTTAAAATGTTGAGGTATAAGTAAAATAGTGAAATGTCCACACAATATTAGTTTACTTGCGTGTATTAAATATACAAATTTAGGTTCATATTTGTAAATGTTGCTTATTTCCACAGTCACATTTAATATATATTTACAATCACTGCAATATGATAATTATCGCACTACATAAAGTTATCTTTTAAAAGCTCAGATTTTACAAATTGAATTTATGTTAGACTAAGTGACTTCTCCCATGACTATGTTTTGTTCAAAATAAAGTAATTAAAAGAGTGACCCCTTAATAGGAGAGGCCATAAGAAATGAGTACAAAGTGACTTCATCTTTTCTGGGAGGTAATTTGGGTTAAAAAAAAAAAAAGTTAAAACAACTTTCACCTTATCTATAATATTTAAAGCATAATATGCTAATTAGACCAGACAGCCGAACCACCTTTCAGATGGATCTTCTGGACGAAGCCAGGGCTGTGAGGGCCGAGCCCCTGGCATGAATTTCGGGCATCGGGCCTCTAGGAAATATATATATATGTTCACACAATAGAAAATTTAAAAAATTATAAAGCATTTTAGTGAAGTAAGCCAGACTAAAGTTCTCAACAAATATTTACTAACTAAATAATGAATATTTTTATACTGTCTTCTTTCTGTTTGTAAATAGGTGTTATTTTTTACAAGCAGGAAAAAAAAAAAAAGACACAAAAAGAAATTTATTCCCCCAAACACCTGAAAATTGTAGCTGTTTTTCTGAATACTTGTTAAAGTTTCTGATCTCCATTGAAATTTTGGCACAAAGATCCAATCCTTAAATTAGCCCAGATCACGTTAGGGTTTGTTTTATTGCTGGTAACTCTATCTGTAGTTCCAAAGATCCCCATGTTCTTGCATTGCGAAAGCAACAAGGGGAAAAGTCTTTGGAATGAAAACCTACCAAAGTGAACGGTTATTGAAAAGAATTCTCTTCAACTACCTACAAGCAAGGAAGCCGCTGTGAAACTGTCTTAATGTTTTCAGATTTATTTGGGTAGTGAAGTTGTAACCAATTTATTTAACTCCTCATTAAAATCCTGCTGACCTCAATGAAGCCAGTACATTTCACAGGGTGTAAGTATTTGGAAACTGGCAAACTTTTCTAAGGAGGGCAGCAGCTGCTAGGGCCAGCCCAGTCCGGACTATGGAGGACTTTCTCCTAGGACAGTGGTCAGCAAACTGCGGCTCTCGAGCCACATGAGGCTCTTTGGCCCCTTGAGTGTGGCTCTTCCACAAAATACCACGGCCTGGGTGAGTCTATTTTGAAGTGGCGTTAGAAAAAGTTTAAATTAAAAAACATGTGGCTCTCAAAAGAAATTTCAGTCGTTGTACTGTTGATGATATGTGGCCCTGTTGACTAATGAGTTTGCCGACCACTGGCCTAGGAGTTTCATGTGTACCCAGGTGGTATTCTGCATCCACTTGCACCTGCAGCTCCTCTCAATCCTTCCTTCCTCTGCTGCTCAAAATGTAAGGCGTCCTTTATCTGTACAATTGCATCGTTTCAGTCCATGTTGCTATGTGCTGCCTTCCTGGTAACCCATTCTGGTTTGAGGTCCTCAGAAATCTTTTCACCATGCTCTATGGAACCTTCATTTCACTATTTACAACAAACAAATAGAGGAAAACCCAACTCCTTGAGATCTTTCACAGATTGCTTCTGTTGGCTTCTCTGGGAAGCAGAAGCTAAAATGGAGTTAGGAGAGCAGGTTTGTTGGAGGTAACACTTGTGGAACATAAAAAGGGCAAGGAATCAGAAAGGTCTCAGCCAACTCAGTGGCGAGCTAGAGAAGAGCCTGATGCTTGGGAAGTTCTGCATGGGAGAGAATGGCAGGCCGCAGGTCTCTGCCATCCTTAATCATTGGCTGGGGCTAGCCTGGAAAAGAGTCGCCTGACCCAAAAGCCCAGGCAGAGCCCACAGGAGGCTGTCTGCCAACTGCACTCCTCGAGACTGAACATCAAGGTCTTTCTGGAAGGGAGATCAGAGAGAGGCAACTCCAGCTGCCTTAGAGATTCATTCCTCCACCGTGCCACCGCTGAAGTCTTAAACTCCGACATGCTAGCACTCACCCGAAAGCCCTCTCTCTTCATCGTTCATCCTTCACTCTCATATCTGTTCTTTGATTTCATATGAAACTCCTCCTCTCTTGTTCCCTTAACGTTCTTTCAACATTTCAACTCTCTCTTGATCTCACTGTTTCCTCCAGATTGGCTAGCCTCAGTTCTCTATCATTTCATCAGTTCTACAACCAATTTCCTTAAATTCTTTACCACTCTGTCCCAAGTGCCCACAATGCAAGAGTCTGTGTATCTGTCTGCCTTCTTTCTTCCTATATGCAAATTGCTGGCTGCAGCTAAAGAAAATCGTACAACTCTGCAGCTTAATGTCACATGATTTTCAATCTTAGCTGAACCCTAAACATTGTACAGCAATCCTATAATTAGGCACTTCCTTCTCACATGGCGTCTGAGGAAACATCTTATAATTTTCGTTTTGCAACATGTCCGAGAGCCTGATGGGAAGAGCATGGACTTTGGGGTCATATGGATTAGATTTGAATTCTAGCTCTTTCCTGCCTGGAAGACCCCACCTGACTTCTCTGGGTCTTCTTTCTAAGTCTTTAGAACGGAGTTGATATTAACTGTCGATGACAGATTGTTTTGAGGATTACAGAAAATATAGTTTAGGGAGATGTGTTAAATCATCGAACATACTGATATGTACGCTAAGGTTTTTCCCAGTAACGGCTACCAACTGTACAAAAACCCCTCTCCCCCTAGCTGGTTGTTCAATGGTTAGAGCATCAGCCTGCGGAATGAAAGGTCTCAGGTTTGAATCTGACCTTGGTTGCAGGCTAGATCCCTGGTCCCAGTTGGGGTGCATGTTTCTCTCTCTCTGTCTCTCCCCATCCTATCCATTCTCTCTAAAAAAATCAATGGAAGAAATATCCTCGGGAGAGGATTAACAACAATAAAACAACAACCACAAAATCCTTTCTACTGAGTACATCTAAATCCAATTCCATAATGTTTTTACCAAATATTAATTGTTCTTTGGAACTATTTTAACCACTGTTGGTTTGTTTGATTTTTTTCTATGTTCTTTTTGTTTTGGTATTTTTTTTTTTATTTTTGTAAACATTGACTTCTCTTGAGATTTCCCCATATTATGCACAAGATTTTCTTCTAATTTTAAAATATTACTTTAATCAATTGTTATGTCACTCTTTAGTTCTCTGGCTGTTGTTTGCTAACCATGACAAATTTATATAAGAAAAATACATGTAAGTTCAACTTAATCAGTTCAGAGATTCATATCCAAAGAATTAAATATTTATGAGTGGAGTGGTTATTTTTCATTTTAAAATAATCTCTTTTGAATGTAACAGTTAAAGAGTTTAATATGGTTTTATATTAAATATAGTGCTTTTAGTACCTATTTTCCTTTGTGATCTACTTTATATTTTTTAAAAGTTGCCTCATAAAACATTAGGTATCTGACTTTCACATAAACAAATAAATTTATATACATGTACACACACCTACAAGTCACTATTCTCATTATTTGCATTATTTTTGTTAATAAGACCAATTACCAAAATACTGAAGTTCAATAATAAATGTTTTAGCTTGAGATTTTCCTTGTATTCTTTACAATCTATCTCAAGAAAAAAAAAAACATGCCAGTCTACAACATTTGGTTTAGTACTGGTTAGGTAGTCCCTAGCTCTGGATCTTGTGTTTTGATGAATTTTAATAATTTTGAGAACCATGGATACAGGGTATATCATGATTGTGGGGGGAAATATAAGCTCAGTATATTCTCAGAATCCATGCTTTAAAAAATGGGTGGTTACACTCTAGTTCATATACATAATATTTTCACTTAGTATTTCAATTACTTTCATTGCATTAGATCTCTATCACTCCCAGCTTAATTAGTAGGAAAACAAAAAATATTTCTCTTTGGTGCCAACTGCCAACATAGCAACTTATTTTTACTATTTGCCTTTATTCTTGTAATGGGCATTGAAATATTTTACACAGTCTCAACTTCGTATGTACATTGTCTGTGGTGTGTGTGTGTGTGTGTTTGTATGTGTTTGTGTGTGTGTAGTAACATGCCCTTCACATTGATAAAAACGTGGAAAACGGAAATAAATGATTAAAAAAATACTGTTTAGGATTGAGTGGCAGCTGGTGGAGTTTGGGAATAACAAGTATTTATTACATTCCCGAAGAACCAAGAAATATGTATAATAGTTGAGACATCCCCCCCCCCCCCCGACACACAGTGATCTATAAACGATGTTTGTGTAATGAAGGAGGATGATTTCAATCTCAACCCCTAATGAACCTAGGAATCCCTTTCCCTTCTAGATTAGCCTTGATCTCAGCAGTTGGGTTGCGAATGCAGGTCTTGCAGGTCTCTTTCAAGAGGCGCCCTGCAGGGCCTCAGGGATTCGGGGTTACCGAAGAGGGGGTCCCGGGCCCCGTTATCGCCTTTTTCTTCTATCGCAGGGCATGGAGATGGGGAAGGAGGGATGCAGATAGCGGGTTGAACGGACCTATTCCACCCAGACTCAGGGAACACCCCTTGCAACCCGCCCTCAGTCCCGCCCCCCGCGCCGCGCACGCCTTATGTAAGCGCCGAGGCCCCGCCCCCGGCCAGGCCCCGCCCCCGGCCAGGCCCCGCCCCCGGCCAGCTCCGGCCGGGCCCCGCGGGCGGAGGGGGCGGAGAGAAGCAGCCGCCGCAACTTCGCGTGGAGCCGCGGAGCGTGGGCTCAGCCGGACGCCGAGCCGCCGCCGCCGCGGAGCCGCCGCGTCCCCGGCCCGGGCCCCAGCCCCGCCGGCTCGGCATGGCCCCCGCCGCCGCCGCCGCCGCCGCGGCTCCTCCGGCCCCGGCGCCCTCCGCTCGCCGCTGAGCAGCCGTTATCTGCCCGCCGCCGCCGCGGCCCAGGCTCCGCGCAAGTTTCCGCCGCGGGAGGCGCGGGAGGCGCGGGAGGCGCAGGCGGGGAGAGCGGACGCGGGGAATCGGCGCCCCCAGCCCGCCGGCCCTCCCGCCCGCGATGTGGGGGCGCTTCCTGGCCCCGGAGGCCGGCGGCCGCGACAGCCCGGGCGGAGCCCGCAGCTTCCCGGCGGGTGAGTAACGGGACGGCCCCGGCGGCGGCGGGGGTGGGAGGGTCGCGGCCGAGCGCCGCGCTCTGGGACCCGCCGCCCTCCGCGCCCAGGCCCGGCCTCCCGCCGCCGCCGCCTCCCCGCCGCCCGGGGCCCCCACCCCCGGGACCCCGACCCCGGGCCGGCATCGGGCGGGCGGCGGCCCCGGCGTGAAGCTCTCCGGGACCCCCCCGGGCTGGGCTTTGTTGTCCGTCCTCCGCCCCTTCCCTCGTGGGGTGTGGGGCGTGGGGTGAGGGGTGTGGGGTGCAGACGTGGATAACGGGGCTCCCGGGGACCCGCGCGGGAAGGTCGCGGCGGCGGCGGCGGCGGCGGCTCGGGGCGCGCCCGCGGGGCCGGGGTCCGCGAAGCCCACGCCGCGGCCGCCGCCTTAGGGCGCGTTTAGGGGCGAGAGGGGGCTGCGGGCGACGCCCCCGCGGCAGGGCACCCCGAGGGGTCAGACCCGCGCTGAGCCCCGGGGCCGCCCCGCATCCCTCGCCGCGCGCACGTTCTGCAGGAGCCGGCGGACTTGGCGCACCGAGGGCGTCCATCGTTTGCCGTCCCTTTGCATCGCCCTTTCAGTTTTGGGGTTTGCAGGCTTGGGTGCACGAAGGGAGCCATTTCACGCCAGCCTCGCCCAGCAGTCGCGCAGGAGCCACCACATCAGGATAAATCTTACCCCAATTTGGGATAAAAAAAAAAAAAGAAGGCTAGGATAGTCTGGGACAAGTTGTCTGAAGTTGACAGTTCCTCCAAGTCCTTTCATCTTGATTGCATCTTGAACCCCTAGGAGAAGCTGAAAGTTATGTGGGCCCTTTATTCCGAAAGAAGCTTCATATACACATCTCCCACCTACTATGTTAGGTGGTTCTGGGAGTTCTACTTAGTAACCTAGTTCCGTAAAATGTTTGCCCTCAACTTGTGTAACTGACATTTTTGTGTATACCTTTTTCAGAGCTATTTGCAAAACAAAAAAGCAGAAGCAGTATTTGGAAGTGGGTTTTTTTTTTTTCCTTCTTCTGGTGGTAGTTTCTGCTGTTTAAAAAGTATTGAATACAAACTCAGAAGATCGCTAATTACAATTTCAAATAATGCAATTCTGTGACAGATGGAAGTGGGGCACGTATTCAAGGTGTCCTACCTGATGTTTTCGTATGTGTACGCTGTGAAATGACTTCCACAATCTTAACTGGTTAACTATTCATCACCGCAGTGTTTTGCTTTGCTTTGTTTTGTATTTTGGTGTATGCTGAGGACACTTCAGAGCCATCCTCTTAGCAAATTTCCATCATACTATACAGTATTGTTAACTCTAGTCAACATACTATGTATTATACCTAAATATACATAAATTTTATAACCCAGGGTTAGATGTGAAATTTCTTCTTAAATTTCATCATGCAACACTTTTAGAAATAATAGTAAAAAATATAAATAGGGAATAATTTTCTTTAAAATGTATCATATTTGTATACATTATAGAGGAAATAGCTGTTGAGAAGTTTCTGAAGCTTACCGGATATTTACAATCCTGAAATCAAAGTAACTTAAGTGAGAAGACATTTCTTTATCCCTAATGGGCTGGAGGGAGTCTTTCAATTATTAGTACATGTGAAAAGCCATCTGCAATGTTTTTGTGACTTAACCTCTTCAAGTTTATTTCTAATAATAACATGTTTAATGGTGTAATGTCATCCAAGCATTGTATCAATGTTTCCGTTGTTATTATCTATGATAGAAAATTATCTTAGTGCTTAGAAGTTAAGTGACTGAAGCTTTGAGATTATACTGCAGATTATACTGCAGTCTCTAAACCTTTGTAAAGAATATATATAGAAGAAGATACCTTATAAATCTACCCAAGTTTAAGGAATTTGGACAGTATTGCTTTACAAAGCATATATTTTATCTCAGCTTTGGTATTGTTGGTAAGGACTTGCCTTTCCAATAAAAACTTTTTCAGCTGTATGCTAATAATTGATTATATATAGTAATATTGATGAGTGTTTATACTTTATTTTGTTCTCAAGCAAACAAATATTAAAATTATTTTTTATTTAGTTTAAAAAAGCCATATGTTAGATGAAAAACTGTGTGGTTTCCTTAGCAAATGAGCAGATGGTTAAGGTCAAGATAATGACCTCTTAATTGTTTCATGTAGGGATTTTTTTCTGTTTCTGAGAATTAGAAGAAAATTCATAGTTTTTGAAATATTCTCCAGTACATCTTTTGACTAACTTGAGTGATTTCAGAGTTTTTCTGAAAACAAAGAGAACCAGTCTTCTGATTCAATGTATCAGCAATCATTTGGTCCTGAGTGCCATTGTGAAGGCTTAGATAAATAATTAATGCTATTTAAATAAATTTATCTCAATATGTGGGTCACTTCTAAAACTAGTTTGTTTATACAAATATGTAACTAAAGGGGAACCTAAAGGCATTATAGAACCAGTGTTCTAAAAAACTGGAGGAAACTTCCTTTTCAAAGCAATGGCAGTAAAAACAAATAGAAATAATGTGTGGTTTGGAAAATACTGAACTTTTGACCTTTGCTTTAGGATTTAACTTTGTTTTGGCTTTACCAACAATATTCCAGCTTTATAGAGTAACTGTTATAAATTAAGCTAAACATTTTCTATATTTCTGTACAATGAAACACCTTCCCCCTTTTTGCTATTGGCTTGACAAGTGTGGTTTTAAAAAGAGCTAATTTAAAGTAGAACACGTGGTTTGTCTTTATGCATTTGGTTGATTTTCCAAGAACAACCTATTCAAAATGTCAATGCCAAAGTTGGATGAAGGATGGATGTATTTCCTTAAGTGTTAAAAATCTAGTATGATATAGAGCTATTTTGAGTACTTAAACTTAATTATATTGAATTTGTTCTTTTTTATAAGTCATACTCTAAAAATATTAATATATTCATGTGGAGGCAGGATATGCCAGCTTTTTAAAACTAAATAAAGAACTCCATTGTTGTTACTTAGCATAGTGCTTGGCCATGAGCACGTAGGAAATGTTTGTGAGCGGTAAGCATTGTGCTGGACTCTAAGGATACATCATTGAAGAACCACCATAAGGTCCCAGGTCCCTAAGGGAGCTTACATTATTATGGAAACACATGATCTGAACAAGTGTCACTTGTTCAGTGCCTCCAGCTTTTAAATCTACCTCTTCCTCGCTGACGCATTGCCATAGGTGTTTGGTGATGTCATAATGAGCGTGGTAGTCATTAGTATGATCGCAGCAAATACTGAAGGTTTCTGCTGTGGTTCTGAGTTAGATGGACCTATAAGTACTATGGTAACAATGAAACGTAACTCTTTTGCCTAAACGCAGTTGGACATGTTCTTTTATATTAGGCAGTGGGGGGTGAGGGGTTCATCTCAACTGTAGTGATGACTTTGTGAAATGAACTTGATTAGTAGTTGAAGCTCTGACACTTCTTGGCTTGCATGGAGTTACTTTGAGGCCAGGCAATAAATGGTGAGTTGACGTCTTCTGTTACACCGGGAATATTTCTGAATGTTGAGAACAGAAAGGCTTTACAGAGTCGTGATTCTTCTGACTCGATGAAATATGTTGTATGTGTACTCTGAGAAAAAGATGAAGATGTGATAATAGAGGCTCCTTGGTAGTGTTTTATTGAGTGATAGTTTAATTAGTTCCCTCAAATTGTACATTGAAAAATAGAGAATGTGGTTGTCTAGGCAATTCCTAAAGCTACAGTGAGATACTAATTATTTTGACTACTCTGAGGATATTCATATTTTACATGGGCAGAATTATATTCTAAAAAGTGGAATTTATTGTATAAGGCTATTCGTTTTAAGAAAAGGATTTATTAACATAAAAAGCATGAAATTGCTCTTTATACTAATATTTTATTTCTAGTTTCTATTTTTCTATGATTAAAAAACTCCATTGTTGTTACTTAGCATAGTGCTTGGCCATGAGCATGTAGTAAATGTTTGTGAGCGGTAGGCATTGTGCTGGACTCTTAAGGATACATCATGAAGAACCACCATAAGGTCCCAGGTCCCTAAGGGGGCTTACATTGTAGTGGAGATATACATTCTGTAAGTAAACTATAACAATAAGACAATTCTGTTAGAATTAAGTCTACAAAGAAAAGGGAAAGGGAACAGGGTGAGATGGCAGGGGTGGGTAGAGAAAGTGCTTTGGGTAGGCTGGTCAGGGAAGGCCTCACTGAGGAGGTAACACTGTATTGAGACCTGAAGGATGAGAAGGAGCCAGGCCTGATGGAGAGGAGCGTTCCGTACTTGTGGTTCCATGATGGGAGTGAATTTGGGGAGTTTGAGGAATATCAAAACCAGAGAGTCTGGAGCAGAGTGAGTGGGCTGTGAGGTGCGGGAGGCCTGGTGATGGAAGGCATTGTATGCAGTTTAGATTCTGTTCCCCATGAGGGGAAGCTACCCATGAAAAGGTAGGGGAGATGACCATTCGTTCTTTCACTCAGTGCACATTGAGTGCCTGCTATGCTACAGACATTGTTTATGGACCAGGGAACGAAGCAGGCATTCCTTATCCTTGGTATTCACAGATCCCCCCCCCCCCCCCGCCCCCTTTAGGTGTGAGGGAGAAATTGTGGAGGAGTGAGGGAAAGAATAGCAGTAGAGAAGTAGGTTAATAGATCATCGTAGTAATTATGTGGGCGATGGTGGCTCAGATTGGAGTGGCTAGATTGGATTAGGAGAGAAGATAATGTGTTTGGAATACATACTGGAGAAACAAAGCTGACTGGATTTTTTGATGGGTTAGAGGTGGTAAATGAGGGAAAGGAGAGTCAAAGATGGTATCTTAATTTTGGCTTCAGTAATTATAACAGATGGTGGTGTCATTTCCTGAGCTGGGGGAAGAGTGAGGAGAACAAGTGGACTAAAGAGTCCTATTTTGGCCATGTGAAGTTTGAGATGCTTTTTTAGAGGTTCCTGTGATAGTTGAGTTGGAAGTTGAGCATACATGT